ACATGACATCTAAAGTTGGCTCTAATCTAAAGTTTTTTGGAAAATTTCCGGAAATTTTTTTTTTGTCTTTTAAAGATCATAAAATTACCAATAATTAATTGAATGTTGTGGAACTTGAGTATGTTATAGAATTCATTATGAAAAAGATTTTTTTGTTATTACACAACATCGACTTAATTAGTAAAATAATGACTTTTTATATCACCGGAGTTATTCAATTATTTTTGCCGATCATCAGGTGAAGCGATACTTTTTTCCAGTAACTGTATAAAACCAAATCTAATAGGTCTAATCCTTAAATTCGATATAAACCACATAATTTCTAAAAACACTATAATTTATTTAATCATAAAACATGGTCTATACAGATAATTGTCCAGTTTTAAACGATATTGAGTGGAAGGATAACTGTCAATTCCCAGTAATTCGTGATGGAGAAACCCCATCTGGTTGGAAGAAACAAATCTGGAATCAATTGGTGGATTATAGAAATAATAATAAATTGGCCGATTACCATAAGCGATATATTATTGCTAGAAAAATGGAATCTACAGAAGGATTCAATTATAGTATGGCTGTTAAAGTGAACATTGCTATATGTTATAGCTGTTATCAGTTTGTTTATGTCGATAAAAGAGTAGGATATGAATTATATCACAATTATAAGATGGAGGAACATTGGCGTACAAATTGTACTGGAAATAGACATTGTGATATAAGTTTCAGAGAGTATATGGAGCTTAAACAAAAACCAGAAGTTAAATATGATATTTACACAAGGTTAGCTATTTATCGATATGAATTACAAATGGAGAATCTTATCAAAAGAGTTAAACATATTTGAGAAACAGCAAAAAAGATTCAAGCATGTATTACTATACAAAGAAAATTTATTGAATGGTATTACAAACCCGAGGGCCTCAAGGCAACTGAGCTTGCTTTACACTATAAAATCTTATGGGCGGTTCGTGAAGAAATGCGTCAAAATAACAATGTATATTGAAACATATTTATTTATTTGATGTAATTTATCTATTTATTATATAACTTATTCATATATATATATATATATATATATATCTTTAAAATAAAATCATCTAAGGTATTCCTGAGGGCTAGTATCTTGGACTTTTATTCACTGCTATTTCATGATGATTAATAGCTTTTTTTACTTTGATTTTTATTGGTATATATTTTTGCCTGCAAACTTTTTGCGCGCAAATTAATAATAAATGTTTCATCCAGATTACAATCCTATTATAGCAAATCTTCCAAAAATTCTGGTTAAGAGAGCATATTATAGACTTTTACATCACTCTAGATCCCCAGTTCCGCCTAAGGTTGTGGGCGAAACCTCTTAATGACTGTTGAAACTCTGTCAAAACTCTAATGAACAATTAATGTGTAACCTGTCGAAACTATGATGATTGGCGAAAACCCCAAATGCGAAACTCTGCCAAAACTCTAATAAACAATTAATGTGTAACCTGCTGAAACTCTGTCAATTGATTTCTGGAGGAGTTTCTCCCGCAACCTTAGTTCCGCCCAAACAAATTTCTGGAAAAATGTGATTGAATTGAGACTTATTTGTATCATACATTAGAGGTATATGAAAAAGGATTAAATAAAAAGCGTAAAAAACAAATTAAAACTATAGAACCACTTGAAAATTTATCATATGATATAGACATGGCTAACCAAGAATCCAAAACTCTTCCAATTTGTAAATGTGATCATGAGGATGAGATCTATCACCAGGTTAAGAAAGAGGTCAATATTTTATTTCAGCGAGTAATGGAATATAACGAAAAAACTTTTGGTAAATTTATGTGAGAAATTACTATAGAGCATGAAAAGCGGGTTAATGAAAATAAGAAGTTACGATATGAGGTTGAAGAAAAGAAGATAGAATTGCAAGAAGCTGAAAAATACCTTGAATATCTGAAATCTTGATCCAGTTAGATAGAAAGATCAAGGGGCTGGTCCCATCCCTTGCGAAGATATAAAGCATCTTCTTTTGCTCTAGTTAAATTGATAACAATAAATTCTCTACCTTGTAGATTTTTATCAAGTATATCAACAACATCGTGCCATTTTTTTGTGTATCGTTGGGCAATGTTAACTAGTTCATCATATGTGCCCACGCCATTAAATAAACAAATGTAATCCAAATTTTTTCTTATTTTTCCAGGACAGTTGAAGAAAGATTGTGTGACATATATCTAGCTAATATTAGAGTGGCACCCTTCAGTAAAATATGGAATAATTCTATCTTGTATTTTTTTGGGCTCATTGCATACATCTTCGAATATAGCAACTGTTCCTCTTTTGGGAGAGAATTCTTCTATTTTTGGTATTTTGTCAGGTTTCAATGCTCAGAATGTAATATCTTCACGATATGGCTTTGGACTATTTTGAAATTATTCGGTAACAATCACACAAATGTCTATATTTTGGCTCCTTAAGGTGGTGACCAAACAAAACCAAATCATCATTCTTAATATATCTTGTTCCACCTTTTTTTCCACTAAACATTCAAAACATTTTATTCCCAAGTAAAAGACTAATAATCATATTAGTTTTCCCTGATCTAGTCTACCCTGATACTAGGACATTGAAAGGCCACTGTGGACATGAGTTAATACCATTAAAACATTCTGGATTTGTATACTCATTGATATTGAGTACAAAGATCTCACATGGGTCAAGTTTATTATGTACCATATTTATCCTATGAGTTTATTTCTTATATGATAAATAACCTCTCTCTTGTAATTTGCTTTTTATGTACAGAAATAAATCACAATCTAATGGCACCTCAATGAGATATACAGTGTGTTAAGAAAAAAATGGCGGTGACAAAAAATTGCATATCTCAACAATTACATAACATAATCAAATAAAT